TTTTATAAGGATTTGTATGGGAAATTTGTATGGCTGGATGGCACATTTTTTTACTTTTTGCGGGGGGTAGGGTCAAGTGACCTCTTGTTGCAAAAGGGCTATTATTAAAGTGAACTCTGATGCTTACTCTTCTATATATTTCCAGTAAACTGGAGCTCAATAACTCTCCGCTGTATGTTGGTGGTGTAAAGGACTTCGATCAAGCTTTGAACGATCCTCGCCAGCACACCAGAGTGTTTGATTTCGTCGGCTGTATTCGCGACTTTTATGTCAATGGAAATCAGATCGTAGCTGAGAAAGCAATAGAATCGTCCGGTGCATTAGATCACTGCCCCCACGTGGATTACTGTTCAAGCAGCCCCTGTCAAAATGATGGAATATGTGTCGATACATGGTTTGATTATTACTGTCAGTGTACCGACGGATACTCTGGAAGAAACTGTCAGAAAGGTAATTGTGATTGCCGTAACATGTGTATTCAGACAAAGTAGGGACAGATTTATTGTCGTCAAGAGAAGACTATTTAGAAACTTTATCTATCGTTTTTGTATTTAGAGGGAAACCAGGCCTTCAGATTCAGTGCATCCAGTTTTGTAGCTCTGGAGTTCAAGGAAGGTTTCCGTCGTCAACAAGAGCTTCTTGATCGCCCGTCTCCATCAGTTCGAAGTAGACGTTCTGTTATTAGCCCAGACGAATCCTTCAGTATTAAAATCCGTACATTGGAAGAAGGGTTAATACTTTTGGCACAGGATGACACACAAGATTACACGTTAGTACAGGTAAGAAATACTCACTTTTGGTGTACGCAAGCACAATTACTGCACATAACCATAAACAAGAAAGTATTATGCAATAATATACTACGCAGTATACTGCGCATGCCCCAGAAGAAACCGATGCGGGTGTACACTGCGCATGCCCCAGAAGAAATCGATGCGGGTGGATACTGCGCATGCCCCAGAAGAAACCAATGCGCAGTAATTTTCTTGTTTTATTTTTTCTATTTTTATTT